GGCAGACGCCAGGAATGGAACGATGAATGCGGGAGTTGTTACCTCGTAGGAGCCCCGCGCCTTGGACGTCTTGAGCAGCAGACGAAGGTAGTAGGGCTCGCCCTGCGAGACGTTCATGGTCTGCAGCCGCGTGCACACCTTGTGTCCGCTTGCTCGCTCGTAGAAGACGTCGCCGTTCTTGGTGCGGAACGAACGGCGGCCCTTCGGCACCGCCTGCCGCTGCTGCTTCATCTGGTATCGCTCGAAGAACTGCTGATACGTCACGTCATCGAACTCAGGATCGTCAGGCCGCGCCAGCCAGTGCTCTAGCTCGTTGGGCTTGGGCTGGATCACCCGGCCTCGCTCGCTCTGCCTCCCGTACACCAGCTGCACCAACTTGCGCTTCTCTGGAAGGACCACTGGCAAAGTGATGACCGGCGGCTCGATCACCGTGATCCTGTGGCTCAGGATGCGGTGGCAGGCCTCGCTGCCGCAGATGACCCGGCCCTCCTGGTACTCGGCGATCTCGTCGCGCGCGGGAGCCGCTCCGCCGTGAGCCCCGCCACTCGCACTCGTGGCCGCCGAGTCCGCCCCCGCCAGCCTCTCGACGTAGGAGCTCTGCCTCGCCCGCTGCTCGTCTCGCTCCTGCTTGAAGCTGTGCCCCCTTGCGGCTGTGCTCGCCGAGTCGGTTGCCCACTTGATGGTGAAAGGATTCTTGTGGGGTTTCCACATGTACCGGAACATGTAGATGATCACCTTCATGAACGCAACGACGTCGCAGTACACGTGGCAGCGCAACAGCGCTAGCAGCACAGGCGAGTAGGACGCGATCCAGCGGTCGAGCACGTCTCGTCGTCGATAGATGCAGCGGCCGTGGACGTTCCAGTGTGTCTCGTTGCAGAGAGGCCACGGCGCCCCCAACTTGCACGGGGTGCGACATCGGTCCCCCAGCAACATGTACTCTTCCAGGCTCTTCTTGTCGGGGCGGCAGTACGGCCCGCATCGGTGGCGCATGAACTTGAGCACCACCTCCTTCAGGAAGGGGTTGTTTCGCGGCACCTCGGCCGAGATGTACCGGTCGATGACGGCGGGGTCGGTGAAGTCAAGCTCAGTCTTGGGACTCACGTGTGAGTGAGTGATCCCTCGCTGCTGGTACTCCATCACCGACAGCAGGTACACGAGCTTGCCGAACTCCCCCGCTCGCAGGCGTGAAAGCAGCGCCTTTTGCTTCTCACAGAACACGCGAGATGAGACGTCGGGACGGTCATAAGCGGTCTGGCCTGCAAACGCACACAGAGGCACCCACATCACACACACGCACATGTATACGTACACATCCGCGTAGCCGCCGTTCCTGTGTGTCCACACGTACCTGGCTCAATCGCGTTGACGATCTCGTCCCACTTGTCGTTGCACGTCATCGTGATGAACAGAGACGGCTTGCCGAACTTGCCCGCTAGCGCCAGGGCGTCGCGCAGACGCCACCGAAAGTAGCGAGGCCCGCCCAGGAAGCTGCCAGGCATGTAGATATAGCCGGCCTTGGGCTGCGACTCGAAGTCGATCCCCTCGGCGGCGAGCTCCTCCTGCAGCTGCCGCGTCAGGGGATGCTGCTGCCTCTCCAGCTCAGACAGCGTGCAGAGCCGCAGCTGGTGCCGACGGTGGTACTGCAGCCGCTCGTCCTCCATTCGCGCGCACAGATCGATCAGGTACTCCTGGCCGAGGCGGGGCATGAGGTGCACCAGGGGCTCGTTGAGCAGCCGCTGACGTGCATAGCGCATCGAGGTCCAGTACTTCTCGCTGGGCTTCAGCTCGCCGCTCGTGATGTCCTCCTCGCGAAAGGCCCGGGTGTAGAAACGTCGGTTGATAACCTGGCCGAGCTCCACGTCGTCGAAGTAGTCGTTACCCGTCCTGCCGCCACACACAGCACACCGACACGACCATTCACCCAGTCACCCAACCAATCGAACCCTCCGCCTTCCCGCCGCTCCCCACCTACCTGGACGACAGAGGCATCGACGGACACCAGCCCAGCCACCCCTTCTGGAAGATGAGCGGGTACTGCAGCGACTCGCAGGCCGGGCTCTTGCAGTCGACGAAGTCTTCGTCGTGGCCAGTGGTGGTCCGTTTGTACGGACGGATGCACACGAGCCGCTCACACGGATCATAGGCAGGGGAGTCCGGCAGCAGCACGCAGACCTCGTCTGGACGTGGCCTGTACTGGAACTCCAGGACGACCTGACAGCCCTCCGCTTGCGCAATCTCCCCGAACATGCGCAGCTGCCGAACGAACGGGTTCTCCTTGAGCAGCATCAGATGCAGCCGATCGACCAGCTGCTGGACCATCAACACCCGCTGACTCCTCCCCTTTGTCGCCCCCTCCACTCCGGCTATCGTCTTGATGCGCTTCGTGCGCTCCTCGTCCGCCCGGGGAGTCTCATAGACCATCCACACCAAAGGCTGCTCTTCCGCCGACAGCACGCGGTGGTACACGCGTCCACACATCTGCACCTCACTGAAGCCCGCAGGAAACGACAGGGCCACGCTGGAGCGCGCGTGAAAGCCCATCGCCGTCATCGAGAACGTGTTGTTGTACCACCGGCTGTTCTTCCGCAGCTCAGGCCCAAAGGTGGGGTCCGACATGAGCGCCTTGAAGTCGTTCGCCCACGGCAGAGGCTCAAGCACTGCCCGGCCACCTTCACAGCAGAATGAGCTCCCCTCGCTCTTCCACACCCACGCCTTGCAATGCTGGCATTGCACTCAAGGACCGAGGGAAAGCTGTTTCGGGAAGGTGCGCGAGGGGTCCAGCAGGGGCTGGTTACATTTCCAGCTGTCTGCACCACCACAGCACACGATCACAGTGGCATGTGCCGTTGTCTCGCCGCTACCTGGGTAGTGAGCCTCCATGAAGAGCCGCTTCTGGTCCAGCAAGGCGAGGAACGCACCACGGACCGCCGCAGCACGGAATCCCTTCTGACTTGGCACTGCCACGGTGCCCAACGCTCCCGTGAAGGGCCGTAGCCAGTGCTTTTCCACTCTTCGATCCGGAAGCACCAGCTCGAGCATGAACCAGTACCCCTCGCTCTTCCCCTTTACGGTCCATCTCATTGAGCACAGCTCACAGGAGAACCCGTCGCTCCAGCAGTTCTCTGCCATGCGTACGTCGGGATACAGGAGCTCGCTCCGGATGAGGCCCTCAGCCAGCCGCTTCGTCTCTCTTTCGTCCAGCTGGGCCCCGCTACCCTCCTGCAGCGCAGCGATCGGCGACTGCCCGGTGAGTCTGGCGAACGAGACCTCGTAAGCTCCTCTCGCAGCCTCAAACGCCGAGTGTACGTCTGCCCGCTGCGGCTGAGCGGCTCGGAACACCCTCGCTGGACCACCCGCCCTCACACAGAACGCGCCCGCCTCCCGATCCCATAGGAGTGTCGCCACACCCGCGTTCATCTTCACCATCGCCTTGTACTCATACACGAGTGCTTGCGCAAATAGATGGACAGACACGGAACAGGTCTCGACACGACCTACCCAGCAACCATGAGCACACACATCGTTCATGCACGCATGCCCTAGCCACCATCTCGCCCCTTCTCTCTTTCCACACCTGGCTCATCGGGCGACGTATCCATCTTGGCTGCCTCGGCGCCACTCTCGACCGACATGGCTGGGTGCGTCTCCTTCCCTTCACCGTCGCTCGTCGTGCTGCTCTGTCCCATGCCCGACGTGCTCGGCTCGTCGCTCCCCCCGCCAACCGTCACGCC